TGGGGAGGATGGGTGAGAAATGTTAGAGGAGGTAAGTATCTATCGGAAATACATTTTCAGTTGAAGAAAATGTTGACTTCGAATATCATATCTTACCTCTCTCACAAATAGCTAGAATCCTACACAAAGTTGGCAGAGGGTCTGGTGAGAAGATGATCTCCCTTTAGAAAGTGCCCAAAGGAAGACCATGGAGTGTGCAAATAAACAGAAGGCAACACCCCTGTGGGAGACCACACCATTTTTGAGCCAGGTATACTCTTCGCCCATGTGAAAATGTGTCGCAGTAAGAGTGGAAACAATGGAGGGACCTCCGCTGCATCATCATGTGTGCACATCTGACAAAACCATCACCATATCCTCCTGAAACCGATATCTGGGGAATGGTAAGAAGGTGGACAGCAAAGTGGGGTGCATCTCCAGTCCATCACCAGACAACACTGGGTATGTATTATCCAGTCCATGGAGGAGGAGGGTATCTGGCCAGAAACGTGTGAAATTAAGGGACCCCAGGCATAGAGAGGTTAGGGTGAACCGGACCATAAATTGGAGATTGACCTCAACCAACATCCAGCAAACCATGATAGGGATATCCTGCCCATGGTAGGAAGAGGGTCCTCTACTTTTCATCTCAGATATGTGAACTGGTAGGGAAGGCGAGCTTCTGTACCAAGGATCTGCATCAACCTGTCTGCACATCCAACATAATCATTACCATATCCACCAGGAACCAACATCTGGATGATGGTAAGAAGGTGGACAGCAAAGTGGGGGTGCATCTGCAGTCAATCATCAGGTGGCAATGGGAATGTATCATCCAGTCTGCAGTAGGAGGAGAATATCCAGCCACTCACATGTAAGGACTTACGTGGCTGGTCTAGCTCCTATTATCACCATATTTGTCAGGGACTGACATCTGGGAGACAGTAGGAAAGAAAGTACCTCAGCCAGAGGGGTGAACTACTTGTTAGAGGAACACTTCGTCCATCACCTGACAACATTAGGTCCACGGCAGGATGAGCGTCAATGCCATCTACACCAGCAGAACACCACTGCTCTACTCTCAACTGAGTTGGAGTAAGCACAATCAAGAGGAAGTCTCCATGCTCCACCACCACAGCAGCTGGGAACTGGTAAGTACAAATATGAAAATCTGGCTCACTGGGTCAGGAACCAGACAAAAGCCACAACTGAAGAATAAGTATGAGAACAGACAGATGACACATGCCAGACTGAGGATAACATAGGAGGGTGAGGGAAACAGGGAGAGGAAGAGGAGGCGACACCAGCAGTTGATGCAGAAGTGGAAACCACTGGTGAGCCATCTAATATTGGATCATCAACAGAACCTGACACGAAGTGGTTTGAATGATGGAAAGGACCCAGGGAAGCAGACAATTGGGAGGGTAATCATACAAGTGTAGACCCATCCAATCCTGACTGAAACCATATGAGCTGAGAAATGGAGATGAGTGGCAAAGGCCTCCAGCTCTGGAACACTCCACTGCGCACAGAGCCCATGAAATGCCTGTGGGTCCAGTGACCACTCCATAGAGAGAATCCTGTTGGAACATAATAAATGATCTATGATGAGATTCAGGGCACCTGGAATATGACAAGCCAAAAAAAGAATTTGATGGCTGAGGGCCCAATACAGGAAGACCAGTGTCTGAAAACAGAGGTCTCTCGATTGGGTACCCCCTTGTTTGAGATGTACGAGACTAAAGTCGAGATGTCCAGAGTACAAGGAGGTCAAGGCATACTGACACATGAATTCAACTGATCCCCAAATTGACTCGCTTGAACTCCAATATCCAGAAAGGGAGGAAACACTAAATGTTGACTTAATGGCTTGTCACTGAAAAGGGAAGGAGTAAAATCATAGGAAATGGGAGAGAAGGATACCTGATACACAACACACCTAATTGAATAAGTCTACAAATGGGAAAGGAGGCCTGGACACCTTCCATAAAATGCCATATGAGTGTGAGGCATTGACAGGATGGGGAAATAGGTTGTAGGAATCTTCATCATCAAGTTCAGGCAAACCTTCACATGGTATGCAAGGAAAATCATTAGGTAACTCTGAAGACTGCATAAAAGTAGTCAACTTCCTATGAACCAGAGCCATTACTTTGTGAGCAGATAATACTTGCTTAGATTCTATGAAGTGGCCAGTAAATAAGCAGTTATGGTAGATAACCTACGGAGTTGACTAGCAAAGGAAAAAAAAAGTATTTTCATCAAACCAAAATCACAAGCCCATCAAAATTCGAAAATGACAGTTGAAAGTAAAAGTATGTGACCAAATAATAAATAGAAAACTGGATTAATTAAGTAAAAAGTTCAGTCTGAAAACATGAGCAAAAACATGTTCTGACATTTAGACTGCCAATCAAGAAGTGATTACAGGCTGCATGGAAGAAAGGAAACTAGTGACAATAGGAGTTGTGTTTCAATCCTATTGATGGAGTGTTGCTGCACAATTATTTGCATGATAGCATGCAGATATCACATGTAAATACACATGAGGGTAGGTGGGATTATCAAGGCTTTTGGCAATTGAAAATTTGTGCATATAGAGGGCAATATAATTGACAAAAGCCATTTGTGAGAGTAACATATTGTATTGGAAAAACATATTTTATATAATAAACAAACAGAATCACAGATCCTGTTCTCTTTCAAAAGTTCACCTCACAAATTCCTTTTTATATTACAGTTGTAGTACTGGAAAATAGTACTTATGTGGAACTTTATACATGTAAGCCTTTAACTTTCAAAACTATAATTACATTTCTAATTTATCATTACAGTAGAATATGCTGTAGCAATTATTTTGTTTGGTCAGTTATTGTTTACATACATTTATATATGTAACAAACTTCAAACAGTTGAATTGTTGTGTTTTATTAAGTATGTTATTGTTTTTTACAGTTATAAATGTAACAAACTTTTAACAATTGAATGGTTGTGTTTTATTAGGCATGTTATTGTTTATTTACATTATTATCTGTAACAAACTTCAAAGATTTGGACTCTGTTTTGCTAGGTCTGTTGTTGTCTACATATATTTATAAATGTAAAAAACTTCAAAAAATTGAATTGTTGTATTTTGTTTGGCCTGTTATTGTTTATGTACATTTAAAAATTTAACTCATTTCAAACAGTTCAATGGTTGCATTTTGTTTGGTCAGTTATTGTTTACATACATTTATATATGTAACAAACTTCAAACAATTGAATTGTTGTGTTCTAATGCTCTGTATTGTTTCAGGTCAACCATTGAACTGTTTGAAATGAGTTAAATTTTTAAATGTACATAAACAATAACAGGCCAAACAAAATACAAAAATTCAATTTTTTGAAGTTTTTACATTTATAAATATATGTAGACAACAACAGACCTAACAAAACAGAGTCCAAATCTTTGAAGTTTGTTACAGATAAAAATGTAAATAAACAATAACATACTTAATAAAACACAACCATTCAATTGTTAGAAGTTTGTTACATTTATAAATGTACATAAATAATAACACGCCTAACAAAACACAACAAATCAATTGTTTGAAATTTGATAAATCTATAAATAAGTAAACAGCAACCATTCAATTGTTAAAAGTTTGTTAAATTTGTAAATGTATGTAAACAACAGACCTACCAAAACACAACCATTCAATTGTTTGAAGTTTGTTAAGTGATAAATGTACATAAATAACAACAGATCTATCAAAATACAACAATTCAACTGTTTGAAGTTTGTTAAGTGATAAATGTACATAAATAACAACAGATCTATCAAAATACAACAATTCAACTGTTTGAAGTTTGTTACATTTATAAATATTGTTACGACAGCAAAATGTCACGTGATGCTGGTAACACGTCATGAATTTCTAGAAGGATCATGACTTTTCCTGGCAACTCTAGTCTTTTCCAGGCACCCTTTATTTTAATATATAAACCCGGCAAATAAAGCGGAGAGGAGAAGTGACGGCATAGATGATTGCAGACAGGGAGATATAGAGACAGATAATTGAGTCAAGTGAGCGGTAGTGACCGTAAGTAAAGTGGGTAAATCGTTGTGAATTAAAGCGTGTGTTTGAGTTAAAGTGACTGTGGAAAATAAGTGTATTGCAAAGTTGTACTGAGAAATAATAAACTAGTTTTAATTAAGAAAGGACTTGTATCGCTGAAGTTTCTCAGAAAGAATTTTTACGGGAAATTATCAAACAAGCAGATACGTAACAATATGTAAATAACAGACCTAACAAAACATAGCCATTCAATTGTTTGAAGTTTGTTACATTTATAAATGTACATAAATAACAACAGACTTAAAAAAATACAACAATTCAACTGTTTGAAGTTTGTTACATTTATAAATGTACATAATCAACAACGTACTAACAAAACATGAAAAGACTTGCCAACCACAATAATTCAATTGCTTGAAATTATTTTTTATGTTTAGGAAACAACAGAAGGTATTTTATTAACATGCTAATACTAACTGAGAATATTGGAATGAATCTGTGTTGATTCCTTATTGTACAAAATGGGAGAAGGTTTCAGTATATAACTAATTACATATATTAATTAGTAACTTTTGATGTGAAGAATATTAAATATCAATATTTTTAACTGTATATAATATGTGCACCCAAACAAACAATGTAAGTACACAAACTATAAAGTGGGAAAGATTTCAATCTGAAGCAGCTACATTACGAACACACTGTTTTAACATTTATGCATGATTTCTTAACTTTGAAATGATTAACCCTATTTCCAAAATATCAAATAAATCATCTTACAGAATCACACAGTTGATACCAGTAAAGAAGTTTTAGGGTAATTACTCTGTAACTTTATGAATTTCATGTTATCTAAAAAATATAAAAAACGTAAAGATGATACTTTATACTTGACTTAAAAAAGTTGATGTTTTGACCATATATATTATGATGAAGAAAACATAACATTTAATTGTTACTTACAGAAGAGGAAAAATAAAGAGGGGTAAAGAATGCACAAGCCCATCCAGTAATGTATTGGGAAAATACCAGAAATAAAAGACAACAGCAACTATAACATACAGGAAAACAGAGTAAAGGATTAGAGATCCGATGAGATGCTTCCGTGTTTGCTCTGTAGTCCTTTTGTACTCTAAAGTTCTGTTGATGTCCTGAAAGCATGAGATTCAAATTTATCTTCAGTTACTCAAGTACATAGAATAATCTTATTAAGCACATGTATTCTAATCACTCCGGTAAACATAACTTCTCTACATTTGTTTCACTGCTTACATATTAAGAGCTTAACAGTGTACCCATATAAATGCTACCCAAAACTGGCATTTTTTAGAAAGGCTTCTTAAGAATCACTAGTCAATTACCTACACAAGTAAATATGAAACAAAGGTCAACTGAAAACCATATATATATATATACACACAGATATATCATACAGCCAGTAGACTTTATATGTAGGTATGGTCTAGATATTCAATAGGTATAATACAAGTATACATGCTAAAAAATCAAAAACAATAGAGTTTAACTTTAAAAGGTGACTGCCACTCACTTTCATTTGTTTCTCTACCCAACAAGTCCAAAAACAAGGCAAGAAACCATCGCTAAGACAACAAACCAGAAAGTGACCAACCCACCAAATTGTTCAATTTTTTTCTTTCTGTTCCAATCAAGATAACTCTACAACTACTTTATTACTAATGTCAGTTTAAACCTAAATCCACTCTAATTGTTTCTGGGCAGTGTACGCTTAGTCATCGCTAAGTTGTAATAACTAGTAGCAATTTATAAAAATCATAATTCTAGGGTAAACAATGTTATCATTACTCCTTGAATTGCATGCCCTAACATTTTTTACCCCCCCACCCAGCTTTAAACTTAAGGGCTTATGGTACTAATAATTGGGTTTTAATATCTGCAGTGGGCATAGCACAAATAGCTCGTTATGTAACTATGCCACTAACAAACAACCTAACATTGTTTATTCAGACGAGTTGCATTTTTACACCTTACAAACTATTACTAAACACATGATACGTATTTGTCTACATTTGGTATCCCAACAAAACATGACATCTTTAGTGTTGTAAATAATGTAAGGATTAATGAGTTTGGGGATAAAGGAGCACAAAAAAACGAATTTCCCTTATTAATTAATATAAATATTTTAGAAATTGTGTTCCTTTAAAAAAGCTTAAGTACAGAAAAAACATTATAAAAAGTAATAAAAACCACATTGTAAATGTAAACTGATGTAGGAATGGCATATTGACTTTAATATTACTGCAGTTAGAAGTCTTCTATTTCTGACTGTTGTATGCAGTTTGTTTAGGATAATATCATGGCCATGTTAGGGTAGGCATCAATGTCATGTAACTAAGAGACTAGGACTTGCATAGAAGGAAAACCAAGTTGAGTCAAAACATGTCTTGATTATTATATAGACTGTTCCATGTATTATCACTTGTATTATCTTTAATTAAGATTTTATAAACAACAGTAGCACTATAGCTGAAATTCTCATTATTAAGTCAAATCATACCTTTTCCAATTTCACCAGTATCTCTTCAGTTGAAGGTTTTTTCTTGTAAAAAAATCAATAGATACGTAATTTTGCTAACATTTCATTTTAATATGAATATTAAAGATATTAAAAAAAAATAGGTTCTTATAAGGTTTTATAATTAGATAATGTCTTTCTGTTCCAATGGCATTTATTAAATAAATACATGTGATAAGTGATAACACAATATTTATGTCAATAAATTCAAATGTCTTAGATTTTTAAGAAACATCCTTTAGCTGAAAACATACATCTAAAATACATGTGTATCAAACACAAAATAAGTTACAACAATAAAAAACAGGAAATACTAGCATCAATTCATAAAAATATGGTACATGATTTGTTTACAGTTGGATACAAATGCATACATGTACAAAATTCTTAAAATTACTTTACATGTAATGAGTTCATTACAGTATTTTGCTAAATAATAATGGTATCAAGTATGACAGAAAAGCATAACAAGGTCATCAGTGCATTACGGGGGTGTTGTTTTATCTACCTAGACTTATCCTTTACTTAAATCTCTATTAAAGCATGAAAATACACGTAAAAAACAGTACAGTAGTTGCTTTTTCTTACCTTAAATCTGGTAAAAATTGCTGCCATTTTGTTTCCAGGGTCTAAAATGTCTGTTCTAAACTAGTTTAATATTTTGAACTCCACCAGCCTGATCAATACATGCTGTTGCCTCTACAAAAAGAAATTACTGTGGATTAAAACAGTTCTTACAACTATGCAACATAAGTCATTGTTAATCAGTACAACATTTATGTACCTCTATAATGTTTTAAATATAAGCTATTTCTAGACTATTAGTTGTAAGGTTTTTAGTAACCTTACTTTATTCTCTCCACAAAGTCAACATTCTATCTGTTGATTTCTAAACCTCTAGACAACCATTTACTATTGTCTGTATTACAATGGCAGAAGCCATGGTGAAAAATGATGTTTCTCATACATGTAATTTTAACTTAATTTCATTGATCTCACAGTCACAAACACTTTTCACTGGAGCTCAATCAAACATAATTTTGATTAATAAATTATTTTATATGACACAATATAATTGTTGCTCATAGGTAATCAATTATATCAATTAATTAAGTTAATCACCAAGTTCTGACAATTATTATATCAATTTAATTTTGAAGGCTTTAAGAATGCAGGAATTAATATATGTGTTACTTTTGTGCTTATGCAACACAGTAAAGCCACTGAACAGATGTGGCACACAGCTTTAAGGGCAGAAATGCATATACACTGTAATGCAAAATGGTCATGCCATTACACAGATCTGCCATATATATTCATTACACAAAATACGGTAGATAAAAGTCAAAGAACATGATAAAGCAATGACAGAACTGACTTACGATGATTCCATAAGATACTGTACATGCATATGAAATCACATCTAATAAAGACACTAAACTAATCTGCCATATGATTATTACACAAGTAACTGCATATAATGGTAGAGAGCACAATAAAGCCAACAGATAGGTCTAATATAGAGTCTTGGTATTGGGTGAAAAGCCTTGTCAGCACTAGATATGGCACGTGTAGTGTTGTTGACATATTATAATATATTACCCTTTGTTTTCACTCATGAGTCCTCAGAAATACTCTCATTACACAAGTTATTGTACATAAATGCCGAAGCCTCTTCAGAATTATATCCTTTTTGTTTTCATCATTTCCATAATTTATTCCAATACTTTATACATCAATGTATATGATAAAAACTATTAAGTATATACTGTACCTAGCTGACATATTAGTTCAAGAAGTAAAATAATTGTGTAAGCGAGGAAATAACAAAATGCAAAATAGAATATAAAGTAGTGGTAAAAACTTACCAAATTAAAATAAATCTATTAATAAAAGAAGAAAACAACATTTCGGGAAACATGGGATTTCCCCCCAAAAAATTAAAATCACAGTTTTAGTAATTGAGACATTTGCAGGTTATGTGATTTAGCCTTGAAAGGCAAAATCACGATATGGTTACTCGTTCAATCAAATTGAAGAAAATTATAATTTTCTGAACCACTATCTAACAAATCTCAATCCTATAGAGTATTGGAATGCAGGTGAAAGTAAAAAGAAGTGCCCCTAGGTGTAGTGGTTAGGACACGACAGAATATACACTGGCAAGTAAACTGTGTCCAAAACCCAGCCACCAGGAATTGACATCCACACGGGGGTAGAATGTGGATCATACCATCAGTAAGTCAACTACAATCCAAAACCCAGCTATCAGGAACTGACATCCATGTGGGGGTTGGAAAGAGGATCATACTGTCTTCACTTCAAGTTCAGCAGAATGGAGGGAATCCCAAACCCACCACTCCATGAATGGGACACACGATAGCAATGTAATAAACTGTTTGACTGATCCGGGAACCTGATGTCCGAATGATCAGCATAAGAAAGTTGTCCTGGTAATGGAAACTAACTCACTCAAAACCTTCTAATCGGAACCACCCCAGTGCAATAACTTCCACAGGATATAAAAATATTGAAGGATAGCATAAGAGAAAGAACCATACGAATCAACTTGTCCAACCACTATGACCCAAAACACTAGTGGAGGGAACAAGAGTATAATTGAGTGAGGCACAGAGACACCTATAAGACATGTGTGAGGACTTATGTTGAATGGTTCACCTCTTAATCCAAAACCCAGCCACTGGGAACTAACACCCATGTGGGGGTAGGATGAGGGATTCCAATCAAAGGGGTGAACTGTATTTTGACGGCTCACTCCAAAAATATAATATATTCCCTCGATAAATCCTAACAGAGATGGAGCATCAGATAAGAGGACATCTTCTCATCTACACCAGCAGAACACTATCGCCCTACTCTCAACTAAATAGTTGTACCATTATCTATATCATATATCAATACCACATGCAGGAAGATGTTTCCATGATTCACCAACCCAGTGGCTTGTAACTGGACAATGGTTAGGACTCCCATACTCCACTGGAAGAAAAAAGGGGAGAAAATACGGTGGAGAGTCCGGAGGAACGTCAACACTGGAGAAGTGCAGTGTTACCTAAAATAAAAAGGCAAAAATGTTTTCCCTTCTGCTGCCCTTTTCCTGTGTTAATATTTCAGCTGCCAATTTTATTTAATATGCATTCTAAAAATACAAATATGAAACCCATAATCGAAATGCATACCACCTATGTATATAAGCAAAGACAGGTGTGATCTCCTTTATATTTCTACAGTAAATCCAGCTATAGCAGGTTAATAAGAATAGTTATTTTGTATTAGATTACTTCCACAGATCATAAACATAAAGCTTTTATTATAATGTGGCATTATACTAAGAAGTGCAAAGCATATATAAGGAGTTGAATTAAAAATGGTGATCTCCTCATCATGTCCTCAATTTTCTGTTTTTTATAAATAATCTCCTAATAAAAGCTCACAGATTTAGCTTTATAATTTATCAGTCATTTAAACCTAAAACTACCACCACTCACACCATCTGAATGTTAGTTATACAGTTAAACATAAAAACACCTGTTATGTAATCTCACTTTCAAAGATTTTTCTTGCAGGAAAATGAGTTGATTTCTGATTAATACATTTCCAATTCACCCTAACCTAATCGTTTGCCCATGGTGGAAACTAAAGATGGCAGGAAAAGCATTATGCACTCTATATATTACCCTCTGAATCAAAACTGAAGTAAAGGAGAACACGTAAAGGATTTTATGCAATTTTATGTTCAGTGATTTTTATTGAAGAATGCAATTTACTCTTACCGTTTTAGTTATTGATAACAACAAATGTCTTAACTGTTGTGTATAATGATATGACAAAATGCCATAATTTGAATATCTACACTAGATATATACATAAAAGAGATCATGTGCTTAAAAAAAACTAATTTTATTACAAGCTTCAAATGGACATACCCAAAATATCTCTTAATACCCTGTGTTTGGGGTATGATAAAATCAAATTATATACTTCCCGGATTGATTTTAGACTCTAATTATTATATTTACTCAAAAAAATTGTAATTATTGTCATGAAAATAAACACCCATAAAGGAGAACACATGATTACGGCAACATGTTACTTGGATATTTTTATATGTGACAAAGTAATAGGACAATCAGCTAAAAACACATTTTCAAAACATAAATGTTTACTGATTAATCACAATAAAGGCTAGAGTCATACTTACTATTTTTGTGTTTATGTTACTGCTTTGAAATTGAATTTTTCCACTGGCAACATGCTACTTTTAACACCCCACCATTGTTTATTTCCTTGGTTTGCTGGAAAAAATTAACACAAACTCAACATGTTATATATATATGTGTTTGGAAAGCTCTGTCCATCATCTATCAATTATAAATTATTATATGTTTGTGTAAGGTACATACACAGAGAAATGTGCCCCAAAATATGGGCAACATCAAACTGGACACTTAAGAAAGCCTGGCCCTACAGTGAACTGTTGAAAAGGCTGGAAAATTTCAGCCTAATGCATTAGAAATACACATCTCTTGTGTGAAGTAACTTATTGATGGTAGTAAACAAAGTGCCTGCCTTGTCAAATGCTGGTAAAAAGTGTGCACCTATCATTCAACAAATTTAACAGGAACATATAAGTGTACAATCTGATATGGTTTCATTTTTGATATTTTATTATATTTGTGTGTATTACAATTTAATTTTATACTCATTTTATTTCATCTGGTAATTTCATTTTGCTTCTTTAAAGTTTGTGATGTAATATTTAAATTTTATTTTTTATATTTATTTGTAGTGTTAGGTTCAAATCCTTTCTTGTATGATTTTAATTTTATATATCAAGTTTATCTTATAGTGTAATCTTTATTCTCATGATTTTGAGTTTACTGTAATTGATGTATTTCCTTACCTGAAGTTACCTTTCATTTGGGCACTGTTCATTTCTGAATTTTACCTTTCACTAATTATATCTTGCATTTTTTGTACTATGATTTTAAGTCTAATGTATTTTCGTTCTGTTTTGAGTTTACTTTATTTGAATTTTAATTTAACTTCCACTAGTTTCTGGAATTTTTAAGTTTCTCTTTGATGACTTTGTGTAGGTGAAATGATGTTTTGCATGTACCCTGGAAATGATTAAAGTATGTTATGGTCTGTAATTAACTTACTAGATTTTGTAATTCTTCCATTTCAGTAGATACTTTTAGTAGATATACAAAAGGTATCCAAAAAGTTTGTAACCTGACCTATAAATAAAAGAGACAATGGTTCAACTTTGATTTAGTTTTCAACATAATCACTAGTGAGTCTATATACATGCACCAGCAGTAATCTAAGGCTTTTATGTCCTTCTGAAATGAACTCTTCTTCTTGATACTCAATCCATAACTGGATGGTATGTACCAAATGATAATCACTCTGAAGTCTTCAAGAGATCATCATCATTCTGAAATCTTCTACCTTTCAGAAAGATTTTAAAGTTAGGGAAGAGAAACAAGTCACTTGGAGGAAAAACCAGTGAGTAAGGTGGGTTATTGAGCAATTCAAAGCCAGCATCATAGATAGCATTCAAAGCACCATTTGATTTGTGAGCTGGGCAATGTCCTGATAGAAGAGAACACCTTTTTTGAGCAAAACTCTTCTCTTTTCTCTGATTTCTTAATGCAAGTTATTGACTATGGATG